TTACTTACTTCTTTTTTTTTTTTTTTAAAGATTTTATTTATATGACAGAGAGCACAAGCAGGGGGAGCAGCAGACAGAGGGAGAGGAGAATCAGGCTTCCCCCTGAGCAGGGAGCCCGATGCGGGACTCGATCCCAGGACCCTGGGATCATGACCCGAGCCAAAGGCAGACGCTTACCTGACTGAGCCACCCAGGCGCCCCTAGTTAATTTACTTTTATTATCTAAACTTACCCCACCCCACTCATGCCACCCATTTAAATCAATTTTTAAAATATCAGTGGTAATCATTGTGGAATTTGATCAAATTTTAACTTCTTTGAAATTCTGTATAATATGAAAATTCCTGCTTTTTAAATTACCAGTATCTTAGAAAAACATGAAGCAATTAATAGTACAGCACTATAATGTCAAGTGTGACCCATGAGTTCTTAGCTCATGGCAGGCTGTTTATTTTGGATGAGTGGATGGAGAAGGGAGGGAGAAAAAAAGGTATGAGTGATAGGTAAATTGGACAGTTAGCTCTCTTGACTGGAATGGTTAGGGAATGTTTGGGATGAGGTAGTACTTGGTTTGGTTCCTGAAATTCTGAAAGCAATACTCTTTGCAGGTGGCCATTCAGAGGGAATAGAATTGAATACAGGTGAAGAAGAAAACACGATGCCAGTTAACTAGGGGATCAGACTGAACTACACTTGGTCTTTTTTGTTGAAAGATAAACATTGAAACCAGGTTCCCAGGGATAGTGGGATGGGATTTTCTGAGTGGTTTTATAGCCTTCATTAAATTCTCAAAGGGATTTTTGACCTCCAAAAGAATTAGAAATAACTGCTTGCATGCATATATACATCAGGAGGGCCTGTTCTAAAATAGTTTGCTGTTTGTAGCCTACATTTTTGGGGCTGGATTGCTACTCAACTAAGAATTTGTGTGAATTTTTAAAAAATAGTCTCCTTAATGGTCTTGGCTTTTCTTCTTAAAGATGGTTCCAAACAAAGTAAGAAAAAGTGAAATCTGTAAAGTTTACAGATAAAAGATAATGGAATTTATTCTTTTTTTTTTTTTTTAAGGGGAGAGGGGCAGAGTGAGAGGGGGAGAGAGAGAGAATCTCAAACAGGCTCCACGCCCAGGGTGAGCCCTGAGGGGGGTTCAGTCTCACAACCCTGAGATCATGACATGAGCCGAAATCCAGAGTACTACGCTTAACTGACTGAGCCACCCAGGTGCCCCTGAAATTTATTCTTTGAAGTGATTTATTCCATCCAAGTGGAAGAAGAGAATAGAGAAATTTTTCATTAATTTTTAAAGCCTGAAGATTTTGAAGTTTGAATTTGAGAAAAATACAAGCTTTTTTTTTTTTTTTTTTATATAAGCTTTATAAATAAAGCCAAAGACTGGAAAGGTGTTCCTAAACTAAGTCTTCAGAAAGACAAATAGGAATTAGCTTCATAAGAAAAATAACAGGGCAGCTCCCAGTTAAGTGATTAACTCCATGGAACCCCAGGCGTGCTCCAAACTCGGAAGCATTTCTTAAGGCAGAAAATGGGTGAGAACAGGAGGCTTGTTTGAGAGTTTAAGGAAGAGTAGTTCTCTAAACCTCTTCATAACCTGCCAGGTCTGGTGATGTGGCTTCTCCTTCTCCGTCAGAAGGTAGGATGTTTTCCTTCTGGAGCAGTTTCACTGCTGAAGATGTGCGTGAGCCACTGTTTTGAAATAGGAGGAGTAAGGGAAAGTGAGTACTAAATGATGAGAAATCCCCCCGCCTTCCCCTCATTGCGCCCCCAGGGGAAAAGCCCTGGGTGGTGCTGACAGTTTGAGCACCCTTAGCACCACAGGGCCAGCCCTCACTGCTTCTAGTCGGTCTCACCCTGAAACATAAAGATAGGCAGAGATCACCAGGAGTACAAACTGAAACAAAGGGAGTAGAGGAAGCCCTGTGAAATTTACTGGGAGGTGGGTAGGTGTGGAACAAGCACATTTCTTAGAAACGATAAGCAGGTAGAGGGTAGAAAAAGGAAAACACAAGGTACAGGAGGGCCAACATCTAAATAAGGGAATTTCAGAATGGGAGATCAGAGAAAACAAAGGGGAGGAAATAGTATGACTTAACTTCCACTAAATACACAGCAAAAATGTCTGGAAAAAGATCCAATCTAAGAAACATGAAATTTTCGAACACCAGGGAAAATAATTTTTTCAGGGAGAGAAAACAAAAGTTACCTTCAAAAAGATCAGGAATCAGAATGGCAGGAACACCAAATGGTACATAACAATGGAGTGATGCTTTTAAAGTTTTGAGAAAGTAATTTCCAACCTGGAAGTCTATATAAAAACCAAGCCAGCAATAAAATTGAGAAGTGAATAAAGATACTTCCATCATGTAACCTTTCACATTTTTTTATGTCCTGTGTACTGTTCTCAAGATTTTATTGGAGACTATGTTCCCTCGATATGAGGGAGTAAAGCCAAGAACCAGAAGAACCTTTCCTGAGATGGAGGAAACAGGAGGGCTAACACCTAGGGCCTAAACAATAAACCTCAGATAACCTGCTGAGGGGGAGCAAATAGTATCATTTGGTGGTAAATTCACAGAAAACTGAGTCAATGAGGAAAATGAGGCAGTTTTTAATGCCAGGAAAATGGAAGGAGAGGGCATGCTGGTTTAGTTTGTGGCTCACCTTTGATCATCGAGCATTGATAAAAATGACAGCAAACTGGAAGGGCAGAGCCATTCACTGAGCGCTGGAATGCAAGGAGCAGACCTGGAGGGGAGGGGGCATTCCCATTTGGCCGTGTATATATTGAGGTGCCCAGAGGACATCAAGTGAAGGGATGTTTGGGAGTATGCAGAGCTCCTACTTTAAGGCAAGCTAAGTAGTCTAATTGTTTCCTCAGCTGTACAGGAGAAAATCCTCTCGACTTCATTAAATCATTGAGCAGTGCTGTGTTAAACATTTTTTTAAATGAACATGGACATTTCTTAGAATTTCATGATAGATTGCTTCAAGTCATCTATTTTGTTCATTTCTATATTTTATAGTCTTATATTTTATATATTAAATTTTTTTCCAGCCTGAAACGGAGACTTTCTACTCGTTCGTCCATTTTGAATGCAAAGACTCGGAGATTGAGTAATCAAGCATTTGAAAATTCAGCTTATAAAGATGATGATGATGAAGATGTCATCATCTTAGAAGAAAACAGTACTCCCAAACCTGCAGTAGATCATGACATTGAAGTGAAATCAGAACAGAGTCACATCGAGCAAAGTGGTCATCAGGTCGAGCCTGTGGCTGATAAGGGACCTTGTGCCCCGGCTGGTTCATCAGGCATCTCATCATCCAGGTGTGATCAGGGAACCGCTGCGGCTACCCAGACTGAAGCCCCGAGTGTAGTTGTTAAAAAGGAAGAGGCACTTGAAGATGAGATAGATGCACGAAATGATGCAGCTGTGCTGCCAGCCTGTGTGGAAGCTGAAGGGAAGGCACAGGAAACCCAGGACACCTTTGATAAATCTGCGGGTGATGCTAGTTGCCAGCTAAATGAACTGAAAAATGAGCTGCTTCTAGTTACCCAAGAAAAAGAAAATTATAAAAGACAGTGTAATGTGTTTACTGACCAAATCAAAGTGTTACAGCAGAGGATACTGGAAATGAACAACAAATACGTAAAGAAGGAAACTTGCCATCAGTCTACCGAAACTGACGCTGTATGTTTACTTGAAAGTATTAATGGCAAATCTGAAAGTCCAGACCACGTGGTATCTCAGTATCGGCAAGCTTTGGAGGAAATAGAAAGGCTGAAGAAACAGTGTAGTGCTCTGCAGCATGTGAAGGCCGAATGCAGTCAGTGTGCCAGTAGTGAGAGCAAAAGTGAAGTGGACGAAATGGTTGTGCAGCTTGACGATGTGTTTAGACAGTTGGACAAGTGCACTGTGGAGAGGGACCAGTATAAAAGTGAGGTGAGTGTATCATTCCGCATAATGAGAGTCCTGGGAGTCCCAGGGAGTCTGAACCACAAAGAACTGCCAGTTGCTAGATTGGAATAAATTACTTAGTAATATTTCCATGTATTGACTGTGTGTTGCCCTGCTGCTTCTCAGCTGGGGAGTGGTCATCCTGGGGGTATATGGAAATACGTGTTGAGGAGTTGGGCATTGCTAAAATTTAATGGGTGGTGACCAGGTATTGTAGTTTCCTGTAGCGTACTGGAAATTGCTGTGTAATGAAGGATTATCCTGCTCAAAATACTGTTCTCGTTCCCATCGAGCCAGTCAGTTGCTAAATATAGGGAATATCACATCCATTATTAATAGGCTTTGCAATAACCATGCAAGGTAGGTGATGATGTCCTCATTTTATAGATGCACCCTGTATTAGTTACGATTAGGTCTATTGGCAGGTGACCAAAAACACCGTAGAGCCGTGGCAGTTCCACAGGCATCCGAGACAACAGGCTCCTGCATTGTTGCTTCGCTTCTCAGCGTGCCATTATGGTCCGAGGTGGCCTCCAGGTCCAGTCCTCGTAGATCTATGTTCCAAGCAGCAGCAAAGAAGAGTGCAGTTCCTAAAGTTTGCTGATATTCCACCTGTCGGAACTTAGTCATCTGGCTAATGGGTGCTTTAGAAGTGTAGTCTTTATTCAGAGGTTCTTCTACTGAGGAAGAAGGAGAAAAATGGTAGACGTCAGGAGATAGGTAGTAGCCTCTGCATATACCCTCCATTCAGATTTAAGAGAGCTCCTTTTAGAAACATGTATTTTATGTATTGTATTAATGTGGTGTTTGAAAGAAGGGTTTTTCTGCTAAAGAATTTGGAAACAACAGGATGGTGCTGTACTGCCCCTTCTTCCTGGAAATAATGCTGACATAACAGCTCATCCAAACATTCATCTTGATGTATTGGCTTAGAGTTAGATGACAAAATATATAAAAATCAAAACGAGCTTTCGGTTACAACTTAGAGCTGGTGAGTGTGCAAGAAATGAAAGCCACTTTGACGTCGACATAATTTAGGCATTTTTATCTTGGTTTTCCAGTTTTTAGGTACCATTTGTTTTCAATCAAGCGGTAGTTAACATTTCGTATTCTTTGAATGTGACAAGATGTGGAGGTGAAACTAAAATGAAGCTTTGTTTATAGAAAGCTATTGTGGGTGGTTTTTTTTCCCCTTTTTTGATGGTAATTTTCATCAAGCAGGATTTTCTACATTTCTTAGCTTAAATTTGTACTTTGGCATTAGTATTTTTAAGTCTCATTTTAGCGTTAGTATTTTTAAGTTTTATTTTTATTAGTATTTTTAATTTTTAAATTTAATTTTAGTTATGAATTCTTTTTTGTCAGGTTGAATTATTGGAAATGGAAAAATCACAAATCCGTTCACAATGTGAAGAACTGAAAACTGAAATTGAACAATTAAAATCTACAAATCAACAGTTAGAAGCAGATGTTTCAACTTCAAGTAACATTGAGGAGTCTGTAAATTATACTGATGGGGAAAGGTAATATTACATGAGGCACAACTCTGGGGCTACCTTCTGGTTAGCATGATACTTGCTAGCACACCTCGAATAGATACTGTTCTATCAAAAGAAAACGATCCTTCCCTTCAAGGAATGAACAGTTTAGGTTCAACTTAAGTGAAATAGGAATTTGGAAAGAATAAAGCACTTGATCAGTTAGAGTGGTTTGGAATGCTGTTTGGGGAAAAGTGGAAATTGAGTTAGATATCAAAGAAGGTGGTAAATTTGGCCATGACTAGAAGACAAGGGAATATTTCATGAAACATACTTTTTCACCTGGATTTCTTTTACTTTTGTACTTGCCATTTCTTTATGGTTTTCTGTCCTCATTTTACTACATGCCATCCCCAATGTTAACTTTTAGGTAATCACAAAATTACTAGAAATTGCCGTAGTACAGGTGATTACTAGGAAGAAGTTCCTCTGTGAAAATAAGAAAAGAGTAAATGAAGGATTACCCTATCTCAGTAAGATATAAAATGGGTTTGGGGTTTTGTTTCGGTTTTGAGCGTGGGGGAGGCAGACGTTCAGGTGGGAGGGGATGATGGTACTCCTGATGTGTTGATGACCTACCATCTGAAAGTAGCTATAATAAGGTTAAAACTGGGCAACTCTTCCTGCTCATACAGTATGACTTCAGACCTAAAAGGCACTGTTGTTGAGATATAATCTCCTGCCATCCTCACTTGACATCAATTATATTATTACCTTGTTTTTTAAGTTAAGTTTTTGAAGGATTTCCGTAAATCTGTTCATGGAAATGGAGTAGAGCAGTACATAAAAGCCTAGAAGGCTAAGGTCAGAAGAAAATCCCAAGTGGTGTTTCTCAAAATGGGAACCACAAACATCTGTGGTGCTTGTAGAAATGTAGATCCTTGGCCTACAGTGCAGCTTATTAAATTGGAAACTTTTAAACCGTCTCAGATAATTCTCTTGCACACTGACCTTTGGGTAACTGATGATCGATTGGTTATTTATTTTATTTATTTTAACCGATAAACCTGTGCTTTCCAAAATAGTATAGGAATATGTGGCTATTGATACTTGAAATCTAGTCTGAATTGAGATGTGCTTTAAGTATAAAATAAATAAAATTTTGAAGCCTTAGTAAGAAAAAGAATGTAGAATGCCTCATTAGTAATGTATTTTGATTTTTTGATGATACAATATTTTAGTTACATTGGGTTAAATATATAACTAAAATTAAATTTACAGCTGCATTTTGCTTTTTACCGTGGCTATGTGAACATTTTAAACTGCATATGGAGCTTGCAGTATTTCTCTTGGGACAGTGCTGTTCTGTACATTAAAAATAAGAATCTGTGGCAGGTCCAGTAGATAATAGAAATTAGCCAGGGACAATCAGAAGACTTAAAGGAAAAGAGATGTAAGAGGATCATTGGGTCATACTAGTCTTTTGTGTACTTATCATATAGATAAAAGGTTGTGGTTACAACAAAGGGAACATTCTTGGTAAGGATATAGGATGGTAAACAACTTCTGGAAAGCAAAGCAGAAAAGTGTTTGAACCATGAACTCAAAGGTGAGTGAGGAAGCTTGGACAAAAAATGGCTGGAGTGGAAATGATGTAAAATTATATCCAGGGGCGAATGGAATCTTACAATCCAAGCTTACAAAACATGTTTTAAATCACCTTACTGTGGATTGTCAACGTAGGGATGAGCATCTTGCCTCTTCAGACATTTCCACCTTAGATCAGTATCTAAGCTAAACGTAGGCTGTTTATATTTGGGAGAGGGGCAGAATAAGAGCAACTAACATTCAGTTCCCATGTTTCACTCAATCTTTGAAGCAAAGGCTGCTGAATAGTTTTAAGTCTTCAAAAAGTCTAGGGTGTTGGGGGTACCTGCGTGGCTCAGTTGGTTGAACATCCGACTTTTGATCTCAGCTCAGGTCTTGATCTCAGGATCGTGAGTTTGAGTCCCACCTAGCCTAGTGTGGAGCCCACTTAAAAAAAAAAAATAAAGTCTAGGATGTTGATATTCAGATACATGTATATAAATTTGGAAGGAATGATAATGATCATTTAATCCAGGGATTCCCAGTGTTTTCAGCAAAGCACCATTCCCTATAAATGAATAGTAAAATGGATCATCAGTGAACTTCAGCATATGAAAGGTTCAGAGAAGTCTTGATTTTAAAAACTGTTTAACATTATTTAGCCCAAAATTTTGTAAGCTTATTTGACCACAGAACTGTTTCTCTTTCACACAAGGGTGGATATCTCATAGAACATGTTTTAGAGAACAGTTCAGTTTTTATTTTCCTCAAAAGCTGAAATTCAGGGAGATGCATTCTTATTCTGAGACCAGTGTTCTCACTAGTATATCACTGCTGTTTTCCAGGTGACAATATTTTGTATTATAAATAACACCTTGTAATTGTATGTATTTTACCAGTCCAGATTTCTCCAATAGCAAGTTTAAATTGTATTAGTTAGAACCAAACAGAGCCACTAGTTTTATGAAACACTCTACTTACCAAGAGATGCATAATTATTAAGTTAAATTATGGATTATTAAAGTAGGTGGATTCATGTTTCACTTAAATTTTAGGCTCCACGTGAATATTGAACTGTTATAATGTTCATCTAATAGACGTAATATTTGTATTTGCAGCCTCAAACTTCGATCTCTTCGAGTTAACGTAGGACAGCTGTTGGCCATGATCGTACCTGATCTCGATCTTCAGCAAGTGAATTATGACGTTGATGTGGTTGATGAAATTTTAGGACAAGTTGTCGAACAAATGAGTGAAATCAGTAGTACTTAAAGTCTGTTTTATGTGAGATAATAAAAATACTTGCTCAGTCCTGTGGTTTTATAGCTTTCAGAATGGAAACACTTTTGTTTTATAGATATGACAAGTGACAGACTGAAGAACCATGATCTTTACTGTATTCTATGCATTCAAGTGTGGTCACAAGTACTATGGGCACACTTAATCACACCTTTTGAAATGCCTGAGAATCATTCTTACTGAACGGCTGAACAGCTAACTCATGATTCTGCTTTGAAGTGTAAATACTTGTAATTAAGTCTGCACATATTTTTTTATTACTCTAGAGGACTTAAGTGTTTTTCACCAAGAGCTTTTCAGGTTGCCCCTAACCTTTGTGCAATTTTTTCTGGTTCCCAAAGTGTATTTTTCTCTGAAGTGAGGGCTGTGCCATAATACAGATGGAAATGTTACCTTTGATTTTCTTACAGAAAAGTTTTTAAAAAATGGAATTATGCTCCTGATAAGTTGTAAGTGAATTGAATCTTAATGTTTCTTTTCTATAAATTCTTATCTCCTGAAATATTTTATTCATGGAAACAAGGTAAGCAGAAACTCTCCATCCATTTTATCAGGATTTTCCTTGTGCTGAGATTGCCAATCATGGTTAAACGCAGTGTTTTTATAGAACAAAGAAATGATCTTTAGTATAAAAAAGCATCAGAAATATTAAATGTCCCACCACGTTTACTTTGAAGCCCATTTTTGGCTGCTGCTTCAGCATGGAGTGGGCACAATAATTGTTTAATATTTCTTTTTGTGAAATTTCCTGTACAGCCTTTTGTAGGATTACTACAGGTTAATGAGAGTTGAGGAAGACAATCTTTCTCAAACAGTACAGCATACTTTTCATTATATTACAGAGCTAAGTGTTTTATGTCCTGGAGGTAAGCAGCAAACTGCCCTAGGATTATAGTATTACATGTCATAAAAATTATGCTTTATTGGTCCCTTGTTTGTGCAATTTTAAAGAGATGGCTTTCTATTAAGTATAACTATGTATATATAATTAAGAATCGTATTTTCCACAACTGAAATGTGCATTATTTTTTTTTCAAAGTTTTATCATTGCTATTTATTTTTACTTTTGTTTCTGAACATTCAATACATGTTTCTCTTGTATGTATGCTTAATTACATGTCTTTCATATACAATATTAAATTTTTACTGTACATTAACTTCTAGAAAAAGCAAATAAATGAAGGTTGTTTTTATTTGCTTGATAAAGTAATTGAAAGTGTATTTTTGGTATGAAGCTGGTTTTCTGTCCTAATTGTATCTGCCCAAATTTTAAAATATCTTGTAATAAAATAAAAATATATATGATGGCTAACTCTTCAGATACTACTTTTAAAGAATTCTATATTCAAATTATATTTTGGAAACTGAAACTGTCCATTGAGGAACCCTCAGGTTGAGCTCATTTTAAAATCTATATTAATTACAAGTTCTATTTAGGAGACCAAGACTGTTTCCATTAAGACTCTAAAAACTGAGCTCATCTTGAGAGTGTGTGTGTGCGTGCGTGTGTACATGTATTTTACATTCAAGAAGAGACTCTGTAAATCATTTAGCCTAAAGAAACCTTGCTTAAATGATAGCAGCAATGTATAGCATGTCTAAGTTTGTGAATATTTATGTAGCAGTTCTTTCTGGAATTTGCTATTTTTCCCTTCCTTTGGGTCAGCTATATTCTTGCAAAAATATATATTTTATATGGCTGTTATCTTGCTTTTAATGGGAAAGTTAGTCATAGGATTAGTAAATTTGCTTGCTAAATTGATTCTTTGGAAGTACTTACATATTTTTCACCCTTTAAGAAAATATTGCCAAGATACGATTCTTTGAAAATGTAGCTAACAAAATTTAACAGAACAACAACATGGACTTTCATGTATATATCATATTTAGGTAGAGATATCTATCTTTTGTTGTTAAGTTAAATTTGTAAAAGGCTAGTGGGAACACAGTGATGTTTAAACTAATTATTACTTCAAAAACAGTATGAGGAAGTAAACCAGCATAGTCCACAATCCCTGCAAACAGGACCCACTGTAATTAGCTAAGCATTCACGCAGCAGGAGTGGTGTGGGGCATATTGTTGTGTCTTTTATTTGGGCCTCGAATTCTTAATGTAGGCAGGTACTGCTGGGGACTCTGCCAATGGCCTCAGATACTTAATTCTTGCGATCAACAGCCCATTAGTTCATTATTTATCATTGGAGAATAATTAAAGTGATACATCTGGTGGTTTTCACCCCTGGCTGTCTATTAGAATCACCTGGGGAGTTTTTAGGACTCCCCATGCAAGGATGCACCCCGTACTCATTAAGTCAGAGTCTGGGTTTGGGCCCAGATACCGGTATTTTTTTAAGGCCTCCCAGTGTGCCATCAGAGCTGAGAACCATTGATCTTTACCTTCCTGTGATGAGTGTTTACAAATGTTGAACTCAGTTGGCTCCTGAAACAAACACAGGATTTGCATGGCTGCTTTCTCACTGGGGTGAGCAAGGAGGGGAAAAGGGAAGCATAGTTGGTGCCTAAGTTAGAAATGTAAATGGGACAGAATGGTATAAAGTGAAAAGACTTACCCACTGCTTCCCTAAAGTTAACCACTATTGCTTTTTGTATGTCCTTCCAGAAAATATTAGCTGCATACATATACACATTCATATATATGCATTCAGTTTATATTCAATTTTATATCTTTATATTTGATTATATATTTGTATCAAGTTTTCACAAAGGTGGTACACCATATAATTGGTTATCTTGACATTTCCATGTTACTTTTTTGAACAGGTTTGGTAACAGTCTATGATCTGCATATTCTCCTAGTGCTCATTTATTTCTCATGTTTTGACATTACAAAATATGCTACTGTGAAAATTAACACACACCACACACACTTTTACAAGTATACCCAGAGTGTAAATTCTTTGCAGTGAATATTGATAGGTTAAAGAGTGTGTGCTATGTAACTTTTAATAAATGTTACCATGCCAAAATGAATTTAAACTCCTATGAAAAAGAAATGTATGAGTGTGTTTTTTTCCTCTATCTCCCATCAAATTTACTAATCTGACATGTGAAAAAATGACAGCCTGCATTCTTGGTCTCAGTTGAACATGCTTTCATGTTTTATTGACCATTGTAATTTCTTTTTCTGTGTACTACATCATGTTGTTTGCTTGTTCTTTTTCTATTGGGTTCTTTGTCTTAAGTGTTTTAAAGAAGCTAAACGCTGTGCTAATGTAGCAACAAACACCACCCAGACAACTAGCTTTCAGAAAATTCACAGTAGGTTAACTCGTACTTTGTACACTGTCTCATAAATACCGGAGAGGAGTTAGAGACCCACTGGATTCATGTTTTTCCATATATTTGTCTTTTGGACATTGGCCACAGTTCAGAAAAGGAATGCCATTAATATCCATCTGGTGTAGAAAGACATCCATCTATATATATATATGATATTTAGAATTAAATTTTGTGATCACAGTTCATTTCCATATCCTGGCCTATAGGGAGAAAGTCAAGATCAGAGGAGAGAGTCTTGGCTAAATCAAGCCATTCAGACACGGATGGTTTTTAAATGAGTGCAGTCACAGAGAATGAATTAGCTCGTCTAAAACTGGAGTGTGAGTCACAAGTCCATTAAGTTTTGTACACAAACCTAATAATGAGTTGTGAGTAAATGAAGTTCCCTACTTCACACATGTACAAGTTTAACCCCAGGCTTCCTTGTTAATTTCTTGCAAAGCAGTCAGGACTCCGTATCATGGTAACAATATATAGAACAAGTTTAAATTTGACTCAAAATAACTTTTACCCCAACCTGACTGATACTTAGATTATGAGTGTCTTCACCATGCAGCTATCCAGAATTCGGCTGTAATCTTCGTAACAAAATGTAATGGTGCTTACATTCACCAAGTATGTGAGTCAGCAGCCTTCCTAATCTCCCATGGGTTTCCTGGTAAATGCTGTTGATAGTTGTGGCCAGTGTTTTGAAAGTCAGTACTGTGATCTAAGCCAAGGCCGACTTAAAGTAGTTTGTGTTTATAATGTGCCCATGGAGGCAGCTGAGCTACTGCAGAGCATTGTTGCCGGTTTGCCGTAGGACCTTTGGCATCGTTCTGGGGGAGAGGTGTTCATAGACTGCGGAATGGAAACTTGCTGTGAGATCCTGAGTTCCAGGAGTGTGAGTTGACTAACCGGCCAACAGCAAGAGAAGTGACGCAGTCTCATAACTACACCTGTTACCTCTTCCTGGTAGAGAAATACAGGGGTCTAGCACAAAAACTTATTATATATCATTAAGTAGTCATTATAATACATGATCATGTTATAAGATATGTAATCCTAGTATTACACACTATTCACTGTAATCACTCTTAACCAATAGTTTCTCACTTCCCACTAATTTACTGTGTTCTTAAATTGATTTTTTTCAGTATCAGATACTCTAAACTCTGTTATGGGAATTTCCAAATGTATACAAAAATAGAGAAACTGGGGTGCCTGGGTGGCTCAGTCGGTTAACCGTCTGCCTTCGGCTCGGGTCGTGATCCTGGGGTCCTGGGATTGAGCCCCACATCGGGCTCCCTACTCAGCAGAAGTCTGCTTCTCCCTCTGTCCCTCATCCAACTCAAGCTTGCTCTCTCTCAAATTTTTTAAAAAAATAGAGAAACTATTCTAATGAACTCCCATGTACCCATCACCATTTCAACATTTTCAACTCACGGTCAATTTTGTTTTATCTATACCCCCATTTACTTAAACCCCTTCCATAATATTTTTCATGTGTGTGTTACAAATATTAACTCATTTTTTTAATTGCAGAAAAATACAAAATTTCCTATTTAACCATCTGTTAAGTATGAGTTGAATTAAGTACATTCACATTGTGCAACTGTCACCACTATCCATTTCCAGAACTTTCTCATCCCAAACTATCCACGAAACAATAACTCCATTCCTCCCTGCCCCTGGTAACCTCTGTTTTCAGTCTATGAATTTGCTTATTCTAGGTACTTCGTATCAGTGGAATCATAGGATATTCATCTTTTTGTGTCCAGCTTATTTCACTTTCCATAACGTTTCTAAGGTTCATCTGTGTTGTTGCATGTATCAATTTCTTTCCTTTCATTCCTTTTTAAGGCTGAATACTCCATTGTGTGTACCACATTTTGATATTCATTTATGTCATGGACATTTGGGGTGGTTTCACCTTTTTACTATTAAGAATAATGCTGCTATGAATCTTGTTGCATACGTATCTGTTTGAGTCTCTGCTTTTAATTCTTTGGGATAACATACCTAGAAGAGGAATCGCTGAATTATGTGGTAATTTTTTACGTGTTTGAGGAATTGCCAAAATTTTTCCACAAAGATACACCGTTTTACATACCCACCAGCAATGCAGAAAGAAGCATTCTAGTTTTTTCACATCCTCTCAACACTAAATTTCTGGGGTTTTTGTTTCTGTTTTTACTTAGCCATCTAATGAGTGTGAAGGGTTACCATTATGGCTTTTTTTTTTTTTTAAGATTTATTTATTTATTTGAGAGAGTGAGAATGAGAGAATGAGAGAGAGAGAGAGAGTACATGAGAGGGGGGAGGGTCAGAGGGAGAAGCAGGCTCCTCGCCAAGCAGGGAGCCAGATGCGGGACTCGATCCAGGGACTCCAGGATCATGACCTGAGCCGAAGGCAGTCGCTCAACCAACTGAGCCACCCAGGCGCCCAACCATTATGGTTTTGATTTGCATTTCTCTAATGACCAGTGATGTCGCGCTTCTTTTGTGTGTCTACTGGTCATTTGTATATGTTTGGAGAAATGTCTATTCAAGTTCTTTGCCCATTTTTAGCTTGCTTATTTTTTACTGTTGATTTGCAGGATATGATTTTGTAAAAAAATGTATTCTGGCTCTTAGTCCCTTATCAGATATATGATTTACAAATATTTTCTTCCATTCTGTGGCTTGTCTTTCCACTCTTGAGTTTTTAGTTTTGGTGAATTTGAGCTTATTTATTTTGTTGCCCGTGCTTTTGGTATCATATCCAAGAGAAATCCTTGACCAATCCAATGTCATGAAGATTTTTTTTTTTTCTGTTTTCTTCTGAGAGTTTTATAGTTTTAGCTCTTATATTTAGGTCTCTAATTCATTTTGAATTAATTTTTGCATATGGTGTAAGATTTCAACTTCTTTTTTGTGCTGTGGATATCCAGTTTTCCCAGCAACATTTTTGAAAAACACTGTCTTTTCCCCATTAAAAAATCATCTCATCCTTATTAAAAATTGATTGACCATATAAGTGAGGGTTTATTTCTGGGCTCTATAATCCACTGGTCTTTATGTCTGTCATTATGCCAGTACCACACCATTTTGATCACTGTAACTTTCTAGTAAGTTTCAAAATCAGGAAGTGTGAGTCCTCCAACTTTGTCCTTCTTCAAGATTGTTTTGGATATTCAGGGTCCCTTGAGATTCCATATGAATTTTAGGATAGGTTTTTCTGTTTCTAAAAAACATGCCATTGGGGCGCCTGGGTGGCTCAGTCGGTTAAGCGACTGGCTTCGGCTCAGGTCATGATCCCAGGATCCTGGGATCGAGTCCCACATTGGGCTCCCTGCTCAGCGGGGAGCCTGCTTCTCCCTCTCCC